GGACGGAAGGGAAGATGGAAGGAAGGAAGGAAGGAAGGAAGGAAGGAAGGAAGGAAGGAAGGAAGGAAGGCGGGGTCATAGAAAAAAGACTAGAAAAATACATGTCAAAATGTCCACAGTGACTCTCCTCGGGTAGTGGAATGTGAATGACATTTTCTTCCTTGGACTTATCTGTATTTTTCCTTTGTCTCTCCATTAAAAAATATAAAACATTTTCCTCTGAGTATCCAACTATAAAAGCAACCCATGTCTGAAAAATATAGTAAAAGGGCTGACTCTGCTCAACTCTGAGGCAGCTGGAGGGCTTCTTACAGCTTCCAGGTCTTTTTAATCTGGTTTTCCATCTTAGCTTCCCTCGGTGTCTCCCCCAGCCTCGTTCCCCACACCAACAAGACATCTCACATCCCCACGTTGTTTCTGTGCCCCACACCCCCTGTCTCAACCCTCCCCACCCCCTTCCATCCCTACTCCCTTTCTCCCACCTCCCCCAAACCACCTTGACCCTCAGTGGGTGTGCACACGCCATCAGACCACCTCAGAGGAAGCCCTGCCCGCTCCTAGTGCTCATGTGTCCTCGACATGTACATCTGGCTTCAAGCCAAGCAGTGACCTCTGTCCAACTCTTGTCCTCACCTCCACTTATCTGTAATTTATACCCACCCCAACTTCCCAAGTGAGGTGAATCCTAATGTTAAAATGACTAGGAAGGAGAGAGAAAACTCCACCAAGTTAGAAGAGGAGAAACGTCACTGTTATAGGCTGTGGCTATGGCTGTACATTCTTATGGCCCCAGAACTTTTAAGCTGAGCTCTGAGCTTCCTGGGGGCAAGAGGAGTTTGGTCCTTAGCTCTCCACCACCTGATTCTGTGCAGTGAGTAGGCTCAGCCCTGAATCCAGATCTTGTAAGCAAAGGTGCCCATGGCTGGATTGGCAAGTCTCCAAGAGGTCCCACCAGCAGCCACATCAAGACTGGGATGGGGCCTGGTGACAGGAGCACTTACAAGAACAGAGACACTTTCACCTCCTGCTGACTCTCCAAAGATGGTCACAGAGCCTGGGTTCCCTCCGAAGTTAGCAATGTTCTCCTGGACCCAGCGCAGTGCAGCCACCTGGTCCAAGTGACCCCAGTTCCCTCGGCTGTGTTCATCCCCTGTGCTGTGAGTAAGAGAACAGGGTAGAGGAGGGCAGCACAGGCATCATGACAGGGCACTGGGACCACGGAGGGGCCAGGGGCTCTCAGTGAGCCTGCCAGAAGAAGGCTGGGCTTGCACATCCCTGACGCGGAGGTCTCCGTCTGCCTTCCATTCCCACAGCACAGTTGTCACAGGGCTCTATATTCATTGACAGGCAACTGTTCACTGAACACCTACTATGTGCCCAACACTGTTGTAAGAGCTAGAGCACACCTGAGAACCAAACAGGCCAAACTTCTGTCCACACTGAGCTCACACTACAGACAACAAACAGATATATGAAATATGAAATATGAAAAACAAACAAATATAGAAGCAGAAATATGGCATACAATGTCAAAACACTTTCACAAGTGTTTTGAGGAAAAATAAAACAGGATAAGGAAAAAGGGGCGGGGGTGTGGGCAGTGGGTTGCTATTGAAGATCACATGGCCATGGAAAGCTTCTTTGAGGCTGGGCCATTGGATAGAAACCTGAGTGAACTGAGCACATGAGCCTGGCAAATATCCAAAGAAGGAATTCCAGAAGAAACAGCACGTGCAAAGGCCCTGGGGCCCAGTAAACAAAAGTGTGAAAGTAGGAGATGCTTCTACAGAGCCCCTGTGGGCCATGGTAGGGACATCACATGTCATTGTAAGTAACATGGGAAACCACTGCAAGATTTTGTGCAGAGGCATGACATGATTCAGTCTGTCTTAAATGATCATTGTGTGGATCAGCCACAGAATAAAAGTAGCAGGGTTATAAAAGTAGGTGGTTATTACAATAATCCTGGTGAGAGAGAGAGAGAGAGAGAGAGAGAGTTTTGATTAGGGTGGAAGCAAGGGACGAAGTGAGAAGTAGTTGGATTCTGAATATATTTTAAAGGGGGAGACAAGAGGATTTGCTGGACGACTGGACGCGGTGTATGAGAAAAAGAGGAGGTTCCAGGCTGCCCACAACCCGAAAAATGAGCTTCCAGCAGCAGACCAGGAGGTGCTGGAGGAAGGAGCATCCTCTTGGCTGGGGGAGGGGCAGCTGAGGTCAAGGGCTCAGTTTACCCACGTGAAGTGTGAGGCACCTTTCAGACTCCAGTAGAGATGGGAGGAAGCAGTTAACATGGGCATCTGGGTTTCAAAGGAGAGGAGGGAGCTAAAACCAGGGGGCTCAGCCAGAGCCCTCTGGGATCATCACCCAGGGAATCAGCAGCGAGGGAGATTGGGACAGGCAGAGGCCTGCGAATGTGAGGTGGGAGGTGGCCAGGTGCCAAGAGAAGGATGCATTTCAAAGAGGGGTGGGTGGTCACCTGTGGCTGCTGCTGAGAGGTCACAGAAGGTCAGGAGAGAGCAGGTGCAGGTCACTGGTGACCTCAATGAGAACAGCCTGCTGGTATAGTCAGGTGAACGTCTGACTGGCATCGGTAGAGGGGAGACAGGGAGGAAGAAGAGGGAGAGATCATGTGGCAGTTTTACTGTAGCAGGGAGCAGGGATATGGGCATGGCTGAAACGGACAGAGCCTCAGTGAAGGGGATACACGTGGGACATGACTGGCCTGGGGTAACCCACTGACAGGTAGACCAGAGCCCCCTCTGGCTCTGAGGTCTTCCCGGTGGTGAGTGGTGCACTCCCCCTGCCCACTCCCCAGCCCTCTCACGGTCAGATGTTCTCGGTCAGGTGCACTCTGAAAAGGCCTAGAGTAACTGTGTCCTGCAGGAAACCTGGTTCCTGTCCCCNGGGGCAGCTGAGGTCAAGGGCTCAGTTTACCCACGTGAAGTGTGAGGCACCTTTCAGACTCTAGTAGAGATGGGAGGAAGCAGTTAACATGGGCATCTGGGTTTCAAAGGAGAGGGGGGAGCTAAAACCAGGGGGCTCAGCCAGAGCCCTCTGGGATCATCACCCAGGGAATCAGCAGCGAGGGAGATTGGGACAGGCAGAGGCCTGCGAATGTGAGGTGGGAGGTGGCCAGGTGCCAAGAGAAGGATGCATTTCAAAGAGGGGTGGGTGGTCACCTGTGGCTGCTGCTGAGAGGTCACAGAAGGTCAGGAGAGAGCAGGTGCAGGTCACTGGTGACCTCAATGAAAACAGCCTGCTGGTATAGTCAGGTGAACGTCTGACTGGCATGGGTAGAGGGGAGATGGGGAGGAAGAAGAGGGAGAGATCATGTGGCAGTTTTACTGTAGCAGGGAGCAGGGATATGG